TATGTTTAAATAGTGCTTGGGTTTTTTTATAATTTCAACCCCCATTTTGGGTGTTTTAGTGAAACTCCCAATATATAAAGCTACATGTAGGTTGTGACGCTAAGGTCATCCCGGACCAACACATGACTCAGCTACTAATCATCATGATGAGACTAACCATGACTGACCTCCAAATAATCAGCTAGACTTTCCCATAGTACATATGTCGAGAATTCCACATCAGAAAAGCATTGCTGATTAAATTTTTGTGTTGGGATGTTCGAATTCCATGAAGACCAGCCATGGTTAACCAACCAAAATGCCCTATGGCAACTCGAAAAAGATGGGGATGCTAACAATGCCAGCTCCAATCACTTGGGTGCTTATTTCTATTTTTCTAATACTCGAATAAGAGATCTATGAACTGTAATACATTTTTATTTAGAGAAAAAAAAAAGCGATTATTAACTGGATAATCCTTTGATAGTGATCTTTCACATGCTTCTTCCCCTTTCTTTTTTTGGCCGTTTATTCCCAATATTGTTTTTTCTATCTGTCCTCATATGTCGTTCAAATCGTAATTCATAGATAAGTATTTTTATAATCCGTGGGCTCGTTTGATAATCATTTCAATTTTAGTTTTTATTTTTTATTTTTTGTGCTAGAGTATAGAGGAAAATGAGAGTGAGTGTGAGATTGAGATGGGAGGATGAGAGGAAGGAGTAACAAAATAAAAACAATTACAAATAGATTTTTTGTTTTTAGATTTTGTATTCACTTTTGTTACTCATTCATCTCATCTCCACTCTCATTCTCATTTCCATTCTCCCTCTTATTGTTCTATACTTCAATAAAAAAATAAAAACAAAAGACAAAATAATTATCAAACGGACCTTAAGTTGTTAATACAAAACATTACATACAACACTATCTATGAAAAAGAAAAAAGAAAAAAAGAAAGAAAAAGAAGAACAGAAACAGCATTACTTTGCTTTTTGTTGTTGCAAAGTGGATCAATTTATGGCACCGAACATGATGTGACTGCGGTTGGTTGATGAAGCAGTTCTAGATTTGTTTCTGTTAATAAATAGCAAAATTATGACACTTCTCACAGCTTGTCTTAACCTTTAATCCAACCTTTTTCTGTTGAGTTATCTTTTTGTTTGCATAATGTACAACAATCAAACTATAGTATACAGTGGAGAAGTGTAAAAATCGAACACAAAACTTCGATTGCGTAGCTAAATACTGTTAACGATTTTATTTACAAGATTTTGAGAAAGGGTTAATATTGAATATTTTACAAGTTCTTTAAAAAAGGAGTATTACGCTTTTTCGATCGGCCATTAACCCTTTAATTGTAGCCTATCCCAACAAGCTTCCATATGTGTAGTTTTGTTTTCCACTTTTTGTAGTTACCCTAGTACATGAAAATTATATTTTTCTAGCTCTAACCATGTAAATTCCATCTTCCAAATCCAGCAAATTCGCATTTAGTTGTTCTTGATTTGTCTTACTTTCGTAGTTTTAGTTAACAAAATATCAACTCACGTCTTTAAAATTCTGGATTCTGCCATTAACAATGACATTTACAATTATACATTACACACGTGGTGCGTACACTATGAGTGTACACTATATACTTGGCTTTTGACCTATGCCTCGAGGCATGCGTGTTGCTACATTCAGACAAGCTGAACCACACAAAATTGTCAACATAGCACCGTTCCCCTATATATTTTTTGAAGTATTCAGTTTCCTCTACATAAAAAGGTAGTTCAAGTGTACCAACAAACCCACCAAAATTGTACATAGCTTACTTGGATTGTATGATTGCGTCCCGGTATGTTATCCACTCCACCACTGACCATTCTCCGTTACCTATTAATTTTTTCAAAGAAAAAATTGAGGGAGGTTTTCTTCAAAATAAGAGGCCTCAAGCACTTGGTTATAAGTTTGGTGTGTATAATGGGATTTAAGAGTACGGTACGTGTAGCTCCAATTGTAGAATACTTGTTACTCCTACGCTATGGATTCGACTCTCGCCATCTAAAAAGTATTAAAAAATTTGTCGAATACATGATGCCCCTTGAACTTTGGGGTGTTACTATTTGTCCCTTTTCTTTTTATTAATAGGGAAGGATTTGAAGTTGAAATTTTCTCCAACGTTGAGAAGATAAATAGCACTGGACGAAGAGTTAATTAGTTTTGGTCCTTGAAAAAAGGTTGCTAGCAGTGGCTATAATCATTGACCATGAATCTCACGTTTTCACCTTGGAATATAGTATTAGAGAGTTTACTGTTAATTATTGTGGGTAGGGAAATCAAAATGTGTGTTTTTACTTTTGCTTTTCTCTATTTACGGCTCACCTTCTTCTGTAATCCTTGAGAGATTAAAAGGTGTAAATTACATTATTCGTATGCTCAGGAAGAATGGAAGGTTTTTTTTTTTTTTTTGGGGGGGTTAATATAAGCGATGGTCTAAATTACAAGAAAAGAGGGGTTTCTCACACACACATTATCACAATGTTATTAGAGTTAGAACCTGAAACCACTGACCGTAAGTCAAGATCATTTTCCACTCAGCTATACCACATTGGCAGAATAACAAAAGTTAACAGCAAGAGTGAAGAGCACATTGTGGATTCACTAGGTCGGGTCTATGTAGATTTGCTTTGGATTTGGTCCAAGTTGGGCAGTCCATAATGCATCATATGTTTCAGAATATAAACTTATAAGTGATTATTTGCTTGAATCTGTCTAAGAATATTAAAACTATTTCTAGAAAAAAAAGAAAAAAAATGTTGTTTCAGAATTTTAAAACCACGATCATGATTCATGTTACTGCCCTCATCCAGCTCTAGCATTAAACTAAACGAATATACAATTTGGGTTTGGCTTCATTTGCCTTTGTCTAAATTGATGTCCTTGTTGGTATGAAGCCCATCTTCTAAAGTCCATTAAGTACCATGGGGGCCTTTAAATTTTGGGCCACTTGAAGAAAATATATTTTTAGTTAAATCAAAGAAAAAAAACGACCACATTATGTCTTTTGAAAGTGTAATTGACTTGTAACTCAAGTGATTAAGAGCAGTTATTCTAACACTCTTGTGTTCGAATTCCCCCTCCTCCAATATCGCTTGTATAAAAAAACCAAAGAAACCTGAGAGAACTCATGAGACATATTGAAATGGAATACTTCTGCATGATATATAATGCTTTATTTAATTACCATTTCTGTGTTGATTCGAACATCATTTTCAGGTTGAAAGTTTAGTTTGTAGGGTTGATCTTTATACTTGATAGCAACTTCCCAACTTCATTTTTAAAGGATTTGTCACCAACCTCCATTTTGCTTCGTTTTACTGTGCTATGCGATGGGTGTGATTCCCAAATGTTAGGTGACGTGGGATGTCACGTGCATCACGCCTCTGCATATATACTTTTTCTTTTAGTACGATTTGTTAAATACCTCCTAACTTTTAATCTATACTCTACTTTTATGAGAAATTCTTGAGTTCGACGGGTAGATCATGTCATTGTCGATCACACGCGTAAGTAAATGGGTTTCTACAATAGGGTGGGACTAGCCTGGTATCGTGTGAGACTCAAATACATACATCATTATTCATGCGTGTGGCAGGAAAAATGACATGATTCACCCGCTGGATATAATAATTTCTCCTACTTGATATTACAATTCAAAATTCGACTAGTACTCCAACCATTTAGAGGCTCAGTTTAATATGGTCCTTTGGAAATAAGTAACAATTTTAAACTTCTACCATTTCAATATGGTCTTTCACAAATACAATTTGAACTAGTAAGGGTGTATGTGATTGTCGTTCGAAAAAGAAGTTTTGTCATGTCACTCCTAGTTGCATATATAAACTCAAAGAGCTACAATTAATGGTAAATCACGCGATCTTGAATGCAGGGGTAACTATTTGTGTCTACTCTTTACAATAAAAACGTGTTTAAGCCGTGTGGTATTAGAACATCTTCAAAATATATATTACAAACACTCAAAATCCATCATTACACACACTCAAAACCCATTTATAAACACACCCAAAAAATATACAATGTTAATTTTGGGGTTGATTTTGGGTGTGTTTCTATGTTTAAATAGTGTTTGGGTTTTTTTATAAATACAAATTTAGGTTTGGATTTATTTATAAATTTGTAAATTTCTAAAGCCATCCGAATGGTTACTGGATCTACGTTCCTTTAATAGATAGACCTTGTTGGCCAACCAAAAATATCCACACACAAAAAAAGTGGACTTTGCTTCATAAAGCAGTTTTGTGAAAATCAGCGTCAATCTTTGAACAGAGGTGATTATCCTGACCAACCATACAATCAACGTTTAAAATCCAAAGCTAGAGTTGTAGCTGGATTCTGCTTTTTGCTCGTATCTTCTTTTCTGGTCAGCTGCTTTCAAAAGCACCAAGTTTAAAGTAGCACACAAACTCCCCAAGCTTAATCGTGGTATAGCATTTGCAAATCTGTCTTAACAATAATTTTACGTATTACATCTTGGTCAATCAAAATTAACAAAGCATGTGATTGTAACAAGTGACACGTTTTGAGTGAATTGGTAATGTTGCGCGATAGTATACGTGACGAGCAGGGGCGCATTTTGCAAAGTTCTTTAGAAGATAAAGCACATGAGAAACAAAAATTGTAGTTAAATCAGTTGTAACTTGTTTGTACAAATACAGTATACAATATATTTAGTCCCATCCCAAGCCAGCCTAGAGACTTGGTGTTATATATATATATATATAATGTTTCTACATCTAAAACTCCAAAGTACCTTCTTTTTTTTGGTTAAGTATATATTAGACTCAGTGACTCAAAAATGGTTTTGCAATATGATCTCAAGTGTTAGTAACTTTCTCCTCCTAAAAGAATGCCAGCCAAAACAATAAAAACTAAAAATCTTTAGCACAGAACTTCTATTTGGCTGTACTTGTAGTTTAGAAATTTTCTATAGCCTCAAAATGAAACCCTAATGGAAATCTCAGAAGCCCAAATCCATAATCTTCTCAAGCACCACCTCTATAAAGTAAAATATCCCAAGTCATACACAGAGCAATACAGGTTGGTTGCTTGCAGCCCCCAAATCACCTTTCTGCAAAAAACAGTTAAAAATGTAGGAACTCTTTACTGATAAATGTTGAGCATTTAAGCAGAGTAAAAACTGTTTTTCCTTTCTGATTTTTGGTCATTATGCAGAGATTGTTTCATCATATTGTTCATAGATCAGATAGCGATCAGCATTTCCACATTAACACTAGTACCATACAAATCTTGTTCCTATCAATGAAGCCAAAATGTATATACAAACCAGGTGATGTAAAACATAGGTACATCAACTTAATAGAGGCTTCTCTGCATCAAACTCACTTTCAAGGTCAACAACATCCAAGTAAACTTCCTTGCCCTTGGCCCATAGGAAGAAGTAGAGGCCAGTAAACATGAGGCACATGCCAGCAAAGCTGCATCATTGAGACCAAAAAGCGAGAAATTAAAACAAAAATAGTTTCAAAATTCAAACACTTTCTCACATACGAATTAAGCTCACAAGGGAAAGTGTTTGATCATTGATGTACCTTCCAACACTGATGCTCTCTCCCAATGTCACAAGTGAGAGAATAACTGAGCAGACTGTTCCAATGGGGCTAAACATGGAAACCAGAACAGGCCCTCTTTTCTTCATTGCCCATCCATTGAAGCTCACACATACTCCACTCACTGTACCTGCCTGTGGATTAATTAAAAAGCACCCTGTTAAAAACAAGGGTCATATGTGCCAAGTCCCTGGGACTAGCCCAGGTGACGACGGGTGGAGAAAAGGATTAGGATTAGGATTAATTGTTTGTTCGGACGCATTCAAATGTACCCAAAAAATAGAAACACAGAGAGGCATACTTACCAGTAGAGAAAAGCCAACCAAGTCTTTTGCACTCACAAGTGGCCAATCAGTTTCTATCTTGCGATCTTGAACAAATTGTACTGCTGCAGTTATAAACACCCCTATCAAAGATGTTATGGCGCACAAGGACATAGGTGCAGGAAAATCACGCAATGTTGTAGCCTGTCAAACATCACAAAAAAACACCAATTCATATATAACACAAAGAAGACATATAAAGCCAAGATCAATGCTTATATTGCCGCGCAGTCTAGCAAGAGAGCGTTTTCCTATTACACAAAATTAAGAATTTTATTCATCCTTGTTACTATATTCACCTGTAAGACAATATTGCTGGACAAGACAAACACAGCAGAGAGGAGATACAAGCAACCAATAATTTTCTGCCTATCAAAGACAACGTCAGGAGCACGAGCTTGAAATTGGGCCTCTCTTTCCGCAGGAGTGGTAGTGCTTTGCATTATGCTCATTGTGATAGCGCCTAGCACACATAGCAATGTGCCTAGAATCTTCACTTTGCTGTAGAGGCAACTAATTTTCACTCTCTCCAATCTGCATAACCGTTATAAGCTGCGTTACGGTTTTTTATTCAACAACTATAGTCCATGAAATTTAAAATTAGGATCTCATCTAACAAGATGAAGACTAAATAGTTATTGGCATTAAGTTATGTCATGCTAACTAATCTAATATTTTGTTACTTCTTTCTCTTTGTCTTGTTCTTACTTTTGCATTTACTTGGAGAAAAAAAAGAGAGAAGAAAAAAGGAAGTTAGATTAAGTACCTAACAGTACATGCGATGATGAAAATAAAACCAGGAGCAAGGTTTGGCATGGCTGTTGCCATTGCTGGTGAAGTTAGCTTGATGCCTTTTAGGAATAAGGTCTGGAATAAAGTTACCCTGCAAAACAGAAAAACAAGAAAAGCACATTTACTACCAATTTCTCTTTAACTATTTTTAATGTACTTCAACCAAATTAAAAGTTCAATCTAGTAGTCCTTTATTGGTCAGAAAATTAAGAACCTATTTCGATTTTGTAGAAATATTTGTTAAGATTAGCTTCTTCACAAGAAAGTCTTTTGTATTGCATCAAACATGAATGTACCCCCTATAACAATAACACATCGAATTGTAATTTGGAAAAAGTTTGGACTTTGCTTTGAAAACTAGATTTACTTGTAACCACCCAAATAATAGAAGTATAACCGACACGCGCCATTTAGAAGCATAAAGTGATTTTCTAAAAGATGAAGATATTGCGTCAATAAGTGTGACTACGAGATTAGTTGTGGAATTTAAACTGGGGCATTTTAAACCTTCATCGAAGAACAAAAAAAGTTATCATTGTGTGGATCATATACACCACATGACATGCCAAATCCATCCATAGTTTTGGGTTCAAGATTTGAATTTAGGTATGGATATTACTAGTCGTAAACATGTTATACTATGGGTGGACCGCATAAGCCAACAATACACCACCAATATTTTATTAAAACAAACTAGGAAGAAGGGCATCCAGAATTCATAGAGAAAAAAAAAAGTGAGGGCATCCAGAATAGAACAAAATCTGGGCAAGGAAACTCCAATAGACAAATCAAACCGAGCAACACGACATGCAAAGTTTCCCTAATTTATGCAAACAATTTCTATTTAAACCAAGTACTCATTGGATTTTCAATTTCTCAACCCAAAAAAAAAAAAAAAAAGGGTCAAAGTATTAACAAGGTTTCCTGGAAAATTCAATATAAATGTAAATTAAATTAGAAACAAACATATTTAAAACTTCCATACCCTCCAAAGGCGATCAAAACCAACTGAATCATCAGCTTCCAGCTGACTTTCGAGGGCCATGTATGCCTGCAACACAATGACATATGTCATCAAACCTCAAAATCCACTCAAACACAAAAATTTAAAGAAACAAAAAGCCCAGAAACTATCAATAAAAATACTAAATATCATCCATGGAGAGAGAGAGAGAGAGAGAGAGAGAGAGAGAGCACATTTCTACCTTTCAAAAAAAGCAGCAATAGGAGAGAGGATGATGAAAGTGGCCAAGGTAGAGAAAATAACAATGGTGAGGGGGTCAAGCCCCAAAGACATAAAATAACTCAGCAACACAGAATTCCCAGCATACACAAATTGCACCCCTACCAATCCCCCTATTATTGCAACATCTTCAATCACCTCCCTCTTCATCCTAAGCATTTCCACCAACATATTTTCCTTGTGCCCTCTCTCACCAAACCAAACAAAACCCAGAACCCAATTAGGCCTGAGATTTGTCGCCCCTAAGTATATAGAATATTATATATATCGTACGTTAAAGTGACAATATATATATATATATTAATGCTTCATCTTCTCTCCTGGTTTCTCATATTTTCGGTTTGGTTTTTTGCCGTCTTTTCTGTTATGGTTTTGTCTTTAATTTGTTCAGTTTTCGCATCGACCTTATTCAGCTAACGTTCATGGGGGTTGAGACTTTGTAATCTCAATTCTCTATCAGCCAGTCTTCTCCCGGCCTTTCGGGTGAAAGGGAATCTCTCTTTGTCCTTTTATTAGAAAAAATATAACAAGTTAAGTGCTTCTGTTTTTAAAATTACCCCCCATAAATTCTTTCTTCGTTTTCTTCTCCTTATTTTAATAAACTTAAGAATTAATTATTGTTTTGCCCCTCGTGTTCTTCACGAATTCTTAATTTTCCCTGACTTTTTGTTGGTTTACGTTATCCAACTTCATTAAGTCCGTCGCCGCACCAACAAAGTTTAGTGTGTATGAGAAATCTCATTCTTGTGTAATTTAAATTATTGATTGTATTAAAGAAATTATTTAATCTATCAAAATATTTATTAAATCTTCTGACGTGGCAGGAGTAGACCCTAATATTACCATAAAAATTGTTAGAAATGTTAAATAAAAGAGAGACCCAACTCTATGTGAGACAATACTACTAAAAATATTTATTGATTTTCAGTACACGAGATTACATTAAGTCACTCATGCCACTTCAGAAAATTTAACGAATGTCATGACAAAATTAACATAATGGGGTAACCTAAGACACAAAAGAAAAACATAGGGGAGTGAGCGAGATAGGAAGAAAATTAAGGGAGAAACTGCGATTTTGAAGAGTAGAGGGAAAAACAATAATTAAAACCTAAATTTAATTATGTGCCTAGATTTTTGCTTGCGTGTGTTTTCTTACCACATCGGATATCATTTGCTAAATTTTCTCTCTCAAAAATGAAGGACATGTTGGTGGACAAGCGCTTTCCACGTTGCACTTGCACCCACCAACTAAAAATACCACTTAGACAATAATCTTTCAGTTTAGCTTTTGTAGAAGCACAAAAATCAAACTTAAGAAAATAGTTAAGCAATCTCATTTGTTGATGGCTGTCGACCTCTTTGTCCTACCTCCCTTTTCTTTGCCTTCCAAATGAGATTAAGACTAGTGATTTAACACTTATTTTTTTGGTCTCATTTACGCTTCATGTGTATAGAAAAAACTGTAAGATATTCAGTTTGTAGTGTATCTATGACTAAAAGATGACTAAATTTAAGGTCATTGCCCTAAATTGTAACAAGTATAGACTTCAATTTAAAGGGTGTATTCAATTGAGATTTTAAAATATTATTTAATGATAGAAAAGTCTTCTGGAATTCAGTAGAATGTAATGACTTATAGAATTTCTCACACACACTTGGCCACCATCTTAACTTATAAGATTTGGAAAGATCAGATGAATTTAACCATCCATCATCTTCACCACGATACTTCCATTCAAAGTTTGTCACGTATCTTTTTAGAAAAGTAAATTGAAGCTATTTATACAGCTGTAAATTGACTTCCAATTTGTACCTTTTATAATAAAATAAAAAATAAAACGGGAAAAAAAGTCTCGGTAGTGCCGTGCCGCTCCTCCCTTTCTTTTCTTTCATCTCTATTTCTCCTCCCTTCGTTTCCCTATTGCACCAGCAATTATTTTATTCTATAGCTTGCTTTTATTTTCAATTCCAAAAAGGTTCACAAACTTTGAATAACAAAACACATAACAAAGATTAAAATTAAGAATTACTTTTGTCCTTTCCGGGTTTTACCCTTAGTTATCTTGGCAACCAAACACAGAATAAAGAACTAGCTCAAAATAAAGAATGGATGTAATGACACATTCAGTCAAATTGACCACAAAAGGAGTTAAATATAACAATAGAACATAACAAATACCCAGCAGAAGACGAAATCATCATGAAGTGAAAATAGCAAGTTTACATTTCTTTAGAGCTCTCCCTTTCAAAGTGTTCATCTTCTTCAATGGAGAAAAAAATCTCATATGAAAAATCTGATGGGTTAGAGCATCTTCATTGCAAGAGGTGTAAATTGGAGGTGTAAATCCACATTTACATTTCATTTACACTTTCAGAAGATGTAAATGTCGTTTTTCCTCCGATGGGAGAAATGTAAAAAGGACATGAAAGGAAATGATTCTATATCAAGTTGAAGCAAAATGATATTTCTGGTATTTTGGTAGTTATCTTACCTTTTATATGTTTGGAGCCCACCACTTTTGCATTATCTCTCCTCATTTTCAACACATGGGGCTCAACAAATGGGAATGTAAAATCAAATGTAAATGTCCATTTCTTTTTATACATTTTCCCGCCCAATGCTATATTTACAATCATTTACACCCCACCCATTGGAGCAACTTCCGACAACTCTAAGTGTAAATGTCCTTTACAATTGCAATGAAGATGCTCTTAGGGTAGGATTTGAGATAGGGTTTGGTATTTGTACCTAGCACTAAAAAGTCCCATATAATTCCACATTTTAAAAAATCCTTCGAAATAAGCAAATTTTTGAATACCATAAGACTTTTTATTACTTATTTAAAGTCATGATTCAATACCACGATATTTCAACACTCTCTTTTAAAAATCCTAATAGTCTTAGGGCACGTTTACGTATCAGTAATGGGTATGGGAGGAAAGGGAATGATTTCCATTCCTGACTTCTCCTGCGTTTACTTGCAATCAGGAATGAAAAAATAAGTTGGCCCCACCTCAAAATCCGTAATCACATTCCCTCAAAACTGGGTATCAGATCAACTAGGGGGGAGTAGTCGATACGATTCCCATTCCTGTTTTCTCTTATTAACTTCCAAAAATACCCTTACTACTTTACTATAATTCCAAAACAACTCAAACCCTAAAATAAAAAAAATAAAAATTACACGCTAGAAGGAGAATACACGCCAGAAGGAGTTCAAACAACTCAAACCCTTAACGTTGCAGACACAGCCTCCCTGAAGCGAAACTATGTAAGTCACTCCATCTATCTATCTATCTATCTATCTACCTTTTTCTTCTTCTTATATCTTCTGTCTTCACAACACAATTCAACCCATAGTGATTGCTGCTGTTTGGAGTTTCAATCAATGGATATGTGATAATTACTACATACGTGATAATTACTAGAGTCTCCCTTCCACTCTATAATTCTACATACGGGATATGTGATAATTACTACTCTTACCACTTTACTATTGTTGTCATACAGAACAAGGATTAGGCTTAGGTAACCAATATTCGCATTGTGTTGATCAGAAAAGGAAAAGAGAAAAAGCCTTCATGCCATAGATCAATTGTTTCTTTTTTGTTTTAGTTTTTGGTTTTTCCCAATATCCTTTTACAGGTTTCGATGTATTGTGTTGATCAGAATCTTTTCACATATGTTAAACTGTTTTTCATATCATAGATATATTTTTGCATGTCTACAGCAACAAAAAAAAAAACAACAAACTTTTGTTGTAATACGTAGGCTTTACAATTTTATTTCTTTGCAGGTGTCAATAAAAGTGATTGTGAGTATATCTTGTCAAGCACGAAAGCAACGTTTGCAAAGCAATATCATATCCCAAATTAGGTAAGATTCTTAAAATTCAGCTTTCTTAGATGTTGAGGTTTTGATATCTTGAATAATATATATATATTTTTTAATGTCATGTAGACAAATGGCTCGATTAAGTTTGTCCACAAAGAGGAAACTACGTGTTACTATAAATGCTTTGATTGTCTACCTTCGAATAATATTTGTTGTATGTGCTGCGGGTTATGTCTATGCACGCTTAGCTTATCGAAAAATTCGTCGACCAAGTCTTCCTTCAGTGATAAGAGTTTACAAACAACTAGAATACCTACATGGACTAGTTTTTGAGAGTGATACTACATGTATTGACCAACTAAGGATGGATAGACAATCTTTTCATAAGCTTTGTCAAATTTTGGTCACTAAAGGAGAACTACGATCGACCCGAAACATGTCCACAGAGGAGATGGTTGCAATTTTTTTAAATATTCTTGCACACCATCATAAGAATCGCGTCATAAAATTTAATTTTACTAGATCGGGACGAACTGTTAGTAAGTATTTTCATGAGTGCTTGAAGGCAATGATTCGATGCCAAAAGGATTTCTGGAAATCACCAGAACCTGTACCTGAGAACTCAACAAACTATAGGTGGAAGTGGTTTAAGGTATGCACTATTTATAGCTATGAAATTATTCAAAACAAAAATACTTATTTTCTTTTAAGAACCTTATTAATAATTTTTTATATTTTAATATAGAACTGTTTAGGAGCATTAGATGGAACCTATATTAGAGTGAAGGTACCAGAACGAGAGAAACCAAAGTACAAAACAAGGAAGGGTGAAATAGCAACGAATGTTTTGGGAGTTTGCTCTCAAGACTTGTAGTTTATATATGTTTTGGCTGGATGGGAGGGTTCTGCACATGATAGTCGAGTCCTTAAAGATGCTCTAAGTAGGAGAAATGGATTAAAAGTCCCTAATGGTAATATTTAAAAATCAATATTTTAATTTAGTGCATTTTCCATTATGCATAAAATATAACTTCAGGTTTATGTCTCTTACTGTTTTGTTTTGACATTAGGTTATTATTACTTAGTGGATGCTGGTTACACCAACGGAACAAGCTTCCTTGCACCTTTTAGAGGACAACGTTATCATCTTAATGATTGGAGGGATGGCCATCGACCTGAGACACCAAATGAATTTTTCAATATGAGACATTCGAGTGCTAGAAATGTTATTGAGAGGTGTTTCGGTTTATTAAAAATGTGTTGGGCAATTCTTAGGAGTCCATCCTTTTATGATATTATAACACAGCGTCGTATAATTTCTGTGTGTTGTATGCTCCATAACTTTAAAGAGATGGCTTTGGATCCTATTGAACATCAAGTGGACAATCAGCTTGTAGATGGAACTTTGGAAACAAATGATTACATTGGTACAGTTGAGTCCTCAAACGATTGGAGTGTATGGAGGCAAAACCTTGCAAATGAAATGTGGAATACATGGAATGGAAATAGGGAATGAAGACATGTGATGAGCACATTATTTGTTTGTTTTTATCGTGTTATTTAATGTACTCAAGACATTATTTATTTATTGTGCTTGTGTAATGTATTGAATATGAACAACTAATGTGAGTACATGTTTTTAAGAACCTTTTTATTTATTC